AACGCGGAGGAGCCCCCAGCCCGCCCCCACGCCCACCCCCGGGGCCCAGCCTGGCCGAGGGCCGCGTTGCAGCCCCCCCCCGGCCCTGAGCCCCGTGGGGAGAAGTGCTGAGTCCCGCCTGGCAGGAGCCTCAAGGCCTGTTTTGCCTGGCAACAAGCCCCCGGCTGACGCCCCCTCCCCCGGCACTCCCCACGGCCTGCGCAGCGCGGGGTCAAGGCTGGCCGGGGCAGCACCTGCTGCCAGCCGGGAAAACACGGCCCTGCTTATGTAAGGCTGGAGACGTGCCAGGGGGCAGGATACGGGCTCTGGTCCCGCTGCCCTCACAGCACGAGGGCACCGGGCCATGCACAAGTCCCCTCCAGCGGTGGGGCCAGGGGAGATGCTGGGAACCCGCCCCTCGGGCCGCACTGCCCACGCTACCAAGGACCTCAGCAGCACGCCCATTCGCCGGGGCCAGCCTGCGTCAGCCCCCTCCCCAGCACCACCCCCCGGCACTGGTGCCAGCTGGGAGCCACGCTCCCCGCCTGGGCTGGGCTGGGCTGCTTCCGCCGGCAGGCAGTCGGGCACCGCTCTGATGCAGCCCGTGTTCGCCGCGCACCGTGCGAAGCGCGGCCCTGGACTCCCGGACGCACCAGGCGCAGGTGCCAGCTCCCTCCCACAGGGCCGCGCAGCCAGGCGCCCCGGTACAGCTGCACAGCCCACGTGGCTGCAGCGACACCGGCCAAGCCTGCGCCACGGGCAGGGGATGGGCACCGAGGACGCGGGGCAGCCCAGCCCTGCTTGCCAATGCCCGAGCTCCCGGCCGGGGAAGCAGTCGGCCCCGGGCGCGGGGCACTGCGGAGGCCAAGCCGTGCCCGCTGGGAGCCTGTGCCCAGGCAGCGCCTGGTCTCCCTCGCCTTTGGGGCTGTGTCCCGAGCGGCCTCCCTGGCCCCTGCCACGTTCCCTTCTGGCGCGGGCAGGCTCGGGCCCCGCCCCTGAGCAGCCCGCCCCCGGCTCCTGCCACGCTCCCGCTGTCGTGGACCGCAGGCGTGCGGGGCTCCCGCAGCAGGGCGGCTGGCAGCCGTGCCCAGTCCCACCAGGCTGGAGGCCAGGGCCGCGAAAGGTCGATGCTTCCAGGAGCTGCTCGTTCAGATGCCCCCACATCTGCGGGGCGGGGGGCGGCTGGCGCTTGGGATTGGTCACAGCGGGCGCAGGGCGCCCCAAGGCCCGGCCGTGCTCTGCGGGGGCAGGGGAGCGCGGGCGAGGGCTGGGAAGGGGCCGCCCGTGTTCCTCCCCTGGAGCCCCCTGCCACAGCCCGCGCCGCCCAGGCAAGGGGGGCCGTGCAGCTGCCCTCCCCGCCCAGCGCGGCTCGCGC